TATATATATATATATATATATATATATATATATATATATATATATATATATATATATATATATATATATATATATATATATATATATATATATATATATAATTTGTTAAAAATGTTTTTAAAAAGTTATTTTTTTCCAACTAAGTCTCACTACTGCCTGCCAGATCTTTCAAAATTTCTAGAAAATTTGGTTTGTATCAAATTTTTTCAAAATATTTGGTAGGTCTGATGGGTTACCGATTTTTCCAAAGCACGGGTAAAAATGCACCAGATCTATCAAATATCTGATATTTCTTCAACAATTTTGCAAAAATCCATGATTTTTTAATGCCCAGTAATTTTCATAATTATGAAAAATAATTGGTATGTTTTCAAAAGATTCAATATTTCTTCTTCCAAACGATAGAATTTTCAAAAAATCTGATACTTGTATAAAAAATTCGGTATTTACATGAACTTTTATAAAATTCATAAATTTTTAGTTAGAGCATAAGTGTAATTGCAACTCTCATGTGGGAGTGTCAGATCAAGGTGGAAGTGTCCGGGTAAAATTCGGTATGTTTTAGAAAATTGTAGGAGAGTCTTAATGTGAGACTTTACAAAGATCTAACATAGTAAAATTCTTCATAGAGTGTGAAGGGACTAAACGTACCCTTGCTTGATAAGAAAATTAGTATAATTCTTTGTATCTCTTTTATTTTTCTACACTTTAATTTTTGTGCATTATTATTCTAAGTCCGTACACTTTATTCTAAAAAAATAAATAAAAGAATAAGAACATTTACAAAATAACGAAAAAAATTTGAAAACATAATTCACCCCATCTTAAATTGCACTCTATAATTATATCAGTCATATTTTCACTGAACTATTTTTTCATATATATATATATATATATATATATATATATATATATATATATATATATATATATATATATATATATATATATATATATATATATATATATATATATATATATATATATATATATATATATATAAATGAAAGTATTATTGAAAATTATACATAAAAACCAAAAGATATATTATATTATTAAGAGAAGTTACTAAAAAGTTGATAAAGAATGTGAAAAGTAGTGTGTCACTACTGTTACACGTATGGGCAATGTCGTTGCTTTTATGTGCTTCTTTTCCACTGTTTCATGGAACTGAACCAAAAAGCTGAAGTATATAATAAACACTGATTTGATTTTCTAGTAGTTGCTTTTTCCAGTTTGTGTTGATGAATGTTGTCTCATTTCTATTCCTTCACCCCTAATGCTGCAATACAATCAGATTTCTTTTTATTTGAATAAATGTACTTCATGTAGAATACTTAGGAATCACGATTTCTTTTTGTAAGAGCTCTCTAGTTTTGCATCTTCTCTAACAAAATCTTGAATGTGTGTCTTTCTTAAGCTGCCTTGTCTCCATGCTTTAATTTGTTTTACCTTAAAAATTCTAGGTATCTCAAACAGATTGGACATGTTCTCTACCTTTTTCCTTTTCCTGTTTTTCTTATTGATATTAAATATAAGGCTAATTGATCAAGAAGATTGAGTATACAACATTTGATATACAAAGAAAGCTCTTAAATCATATGAAACTAATTCAAATACACCCTTCAACACACTCGACCAAGTCCTTTACCTATAGATCGGGATCAACCAAATAAATGACATATTGTGATCGGGACCAACCAAAGAGATTACTCACTAGACACGATTGTAAAAGTCGACAACTTCAATTTGCATTTTATTAGTATATCAACATTCAACTGAATATTAATCGACGAACACAAAATCGATTGATATGAGTTAAAACATAAGTTGTATTTTTATAGTCACCTACTTAAATATTTATTTTGTTTTAGATTTGATATGTTTTCCTTAGATTAAAATTATTGAAAAATAAATTTGCACGTGTATTTTACCTGTTTATCAATATTGTTTTCACACACTTATTAACTTACTTGCACACAAAAATAACATAAAAAATCTATGATTTATGCATGTGTAAATATTAACCTGAAATGATGCATTATTTTATATTCTTTTGAATGTATAGTTTGAAGATTGCAAAGCAATGAAGAAAATATAAAAAGACAAGTCAGATGGGGTAAGGAAACCGAATTCTTGAAGGTCAAATTCAAGACATTCTTTCTACTCGACCCAACAATCCAAGGTAGAAACAATGACAAATTAGAGTAAATTTGTAGCGAAAATCAAGAACATAATGTTTGTGTTTCAAAATAAGTGAAATCCGTTGGGCGAATCACAGCTCGCTCATGGAATTTATGGCACTTCAAGGAGGGTTTCAAGATTACTCTGAAAAAAATCCCAAAAGAAAAATTTGTCGGGCGAGTCATCTTTCGCCTATTGTTTTGATACGTAGTTTTTCTTGAATTGCAATTCCCTGTATTGAAATAGGTTGTTCGACAGGGACATAGAAATTGTCAAATAGTCTAATATGTATTGAAACACTAAGTTGTTGAAGTGTCAAAAAGTTGACCTCGACATTAATTTTGTCTTAAACTTAATTTTATAGTGTTGGCATAACTAAGTATCTTGAGTTTTTGTTTTTGAGCTTTGATTAGTAAGCAAGCAAGATAAATTTATAAATAGGGAGTAATCCTATTATTGTAAAGTGTGATTCACTTGAATAAAATTGTGGTTTTGAGAGCAGAAAGTTACTCTGCAGAAATTCTTCATCTTCCCCAATTCAATTTTTTTCTTGTTTTCATCACCATTGTGTAGCGATACAATCTTGCAACCAAGGTTGGTTGATTCACTCGAGTGAAGAGTGAAGAACAAGAGAGAGAATTCTATCGGTGTGATCGAATCTTGTTCATCAAGATTTATTCGGAATTACTGAAAGTATTGGGTTTAATTCCAACATCTGGTATCTATACCACTAGTTGAGCGATTCGTGGGAAACAAAACACGATGACAATGAATCATCTGAACAGGCATTTTCCGGCGAGTCTCACAATTCATAAGGGTAAGAATTATGAGAATTGGTGCAAACAGGTGAAGGTGGTTTTCTGTTATCGAGATCTTGTGAACAAAGGAGTAACATCACTTGCAGAAAACGCGGCGAATCAAGAAAAGGCTACATACAAAGAATTGAAGAAGAAAGATTATAAAGTTTTCTTTATAATTCATCAATGTGTTGATTCAAAAATTTTTGAAAAGGTCAAAGGTGTAGAATCAACGAAAGAAATATGCAAGATCTTGGAGAAATCGTTTGAGGCGCAAAGAAGGTAAAATATGTGAGGTTACAAACTCACAAAAGAACTTATGAATTGCTTCAGATGGAAGACAATGAAAGCATATATGATTTTTTCACTAGGGTTATAAAACTGGTTAATCAAATCAAGGTATGTGGAGAAGTGTTGACATTGTTGGCTGGAAATTTCGACGTCAGGCTTTTTGTTCAAGGATATTAAGTGAAAATCAAGTTTCTTGGATTTTCTGACTTCGACTTTGCCACTTGACTCAAATCACCAACTGTTTTTTACTCAAATCAAACATGATTTTTTTTACTATTTTTTGTGCTTCCTCTCCAATATCTATAAATCAATTTTCTCTTTAAAATATTTCCCAATGTTAGAAAACACATTCTTTCATTGATGATTTGAAAAATCACAAACCACTTATGTTTCATTTACAATAGAGTTTTGAATCTTTCTTGAACAACTTGTAAACAATTTCTTTCATCTTTTATCTCATTCTTTTCTATTGTTGCAAGAATCTAAATCTTATCTTAGAAGATTTATGATTGATTGAGGAGATTTGTTTTGAATTTAACGTTTCTTTAAAATTTTGTTTAAGATTTTAGAAGTTTGTTAGAGTGTGTAGTATTGTGATTGGTTCTGACAATTTCAGTGAAAATGAAGGAGATTTTTCTCTCCAGGTTTTGGTAGTGCTGTGTGAAAGCCTACAAATATGCAAGAAGATTCTCTCAATTTTTGGATAGACCAACACTCAAGATACCGGCAGAATTGTATGGAAATTTTCACAGACGAAGTCTTAAGAGCAGGTTGTTGGGGCTGGAAGATTCAAGAGATCTCGAGTAAAATTTTTGCATGAAGTTCAATTCGTGGAGCTGTGTACAAGTTAAAATCCAAAAAAGACAAAGAAAATTAATTTTCAGTAATTATTTTTGAACTAGTGATTATACAAACTCTTGTAATTTTGCAATACAATTATTTGTTCATTTAGTGTAATTCAATAGTCAAACTTGATATATGCTAAACTTTTTAGCACATTTGTGAATCTCTCGATCGATATGTATAATCTCTTTTACTCTGAATTTGCTTCCGTCATGCAAAATAAACTGAATTTTATTTTACTAAAAAAATAAACTTAAGTTTTAAACACCTTTTTAACATATATTTGATTTAAAATGTCTATTCACCTAAGGTTCATGGTCAATATTCTCACCAAACATAACTACCATGCTCATGGTCTGATCATGGAGTGACAACTACTTAATTTTCTTGCCCTATAAAATTATTTCTTACAAAAACCAAATGATCTAATGCTTAAATTTTGAGTCTTACTCTTAACTAGAATCAAACTCAGTTTACTTGAACTTTTAGTATACTTTTTCCACAATTTTTAAATTCTATTATATTTTTAGCAAAATTATGTATCTCAATAATATTCTTTAAATTTATTTATTTTACCCACATTTCACATTTCAAACATTTTCTGCACTTTATTTTAACTGTCATTTATTTTATTTTATTTTTTAACATGTATAACTTGCAACTAGTTTTAGATCAATGTCAACATTCAAATCCAAATTCAATTCATAGACATTATCACTGACATGTTATTTCAAAAGTTTAATCTAAGTTATCATAATGTAGAGTGTTAATAAATTTCAGGGGTACTGCAACTAAAGAAACGGCGCCGTTTTTGCTTTAAATTGTTTATACTCTTGTCAAGCGCGAGTATTAATCATTTAAACAAACTCAAGTAATGCTTCTCAAATGTTTCGTTTTTCCCTCCTCAGACCCATTTTCCCCTCACGATCCTTTCACTCTTCTCTTCCACTTCAATGGAAGCTTCGAGAAGAAACAACCAATCTCTCCCAACCCCAACTCATCGACCGTATCTCCCGCCTCTTAATTCTCAACCGTCCCCACTCCCTCCAAAATCTCACTTTCAAATTCACCGACAACCTCACCGACTCCCTCCTCCGCCGCCTCCGTCTCAACCCCTCCGCCTGTCTTTCTTTCTTCAACCTCGCCATACACCACTCCCATTACCGTCCTCATTCCCTCTCGTACTCCATCCTCCTCCACATCCTCGCCCGCGCTCGCATGTTCCCCGAAACCGCAACTCTTCTCCGCCAGCTCATGGACCTGCATTGTACTAACAACTACCGCGCATATGCGGTCTGTAATCATGTACTTACCGTTTATAAAGAGTTTGGATTTTCACCTTCTGTTTTTGATATGTTGCTTAAGGCCTTTGCGGAGAAAGGGATGACGAAACATGCACTCTATGTGTTCGATGAAATGGGAAGGCTTGGCAGAGTGCCTGCTTTAAGGTCTTGCAGTTTCTTGTTGGGTAAGTTAGTTAATAAGGGAGAAGGGAGTGTTGCGATTATGGTTTTTGATCAGATTGTGAGGATTGGGATTGTGCCTGATGTTTATATGTGTAGTATTGTTGTGAACGCGCATTGTCAGGTTGGGAGAGTAGATGTTGCAGTGGGATTTTTGGAGAAGATGGTGAAAGAGGGATTGGAGGTTAATGTTGTTGCTTATAATGGTTTGATTAATGGGTATGTTAGTCAAGGGGATTTTGAAGGAGTTGAGAGGGTGTTGAGATTGATGTCTGAAAGAGGGGTTTTGCGGAATGTGGCTACTTGTACTATGTTGATGAGGGGTTATTGCAAGAAGGGGAGGATGGATGAGGCGGAGAAGTTGCTTCGGGAAGTGGAGGAGGATGAGTTGTTGGTTGTTGATGAGCGTGTTTATGGTGTGCTGGTGGATGGTTATTGTCAAATGGGGAGGATGGATGATGCTGTTAGGATTCGAGATGAGATGTTGAGGATTGGATTGAAGATGAATATGGTTATATGTAACACGTTGGTTAAAGGATATTGCAAGGATGCTCAGGTTTGTGAAGCCGAGCGAGTGTTTATGGGGATGGTAGATTGGAATTTAAGGCCGGATTGTTATAGCTATACTACACTGTTGGATGGATACTGCCGAGAAGGGAAAATGAACAAGGCTTTTATGCTTTGCGAGGAGATGTTAGGGGAGGGGATTACTCCATCGGTTGTCACATATAATACTGTTCTTAAGGGATTGGCTCTTGTGGGTTCCTATGATGATGCTTTGCACCTTTGGCATTTGATGGTAGACAGAGGTGTGTCTCCGAATGAGGTCAGCTGTTGTACCATGCTTGACTGCCTTTTCAAGATGGGAGATTCTAACAGGGCTCTGATGCTTTGGAAAGAAATTTTAGGCAGGGGCTTTACTAAGAGTGCAGTTCCATTCAACATAATGATTAGTGGATTGTGTAAGATGGGGAAAGTGATTGAAGCAGAGGCAGTTTTTGATAGGATGAAGGAACTCGGGTTGTCTCCGGATGAAATAACATATAGGACTTTGAGCGATGCATATTGTAAAAAGGGAAATGTTCAGGAAGCTTTAAAAATTAAAGGTGTGATGGAAAGACAGGCGATGCTGCCTTCCATTGAAATGTACAATTCCCTTATTAATGGACTTTTTAAGGTTAGGAAGTCAAATGATGTTACAGATATACTTGTTGAGATGCAAACAAGAGGATTATCACCAAATGTTGTTACCTATGGGACCCTTATTTCTGGTTGGTGCAATGAACAGAAATTGGACAAAGCTTTTCATTTATATTTTGAGATGATAGAAAGAGGGTTCACTCCCAACTTGGTGGTCTGTAGCAAAATTGTTAGCAGCCTTTATCGGGATGCTAGAATCAATGAAGCTACTCTGATCCTAGACAAGATGGTGGATTTCGATCTTCTTACAGTTCATAATAAATGTTCTGATAATTCGGTCAAAAACGATACAACTTTAGTAGCTCAAAAAGTTGTTGATTCGCTTAATAAAAATGCTATATGTAATTCTCTTCCAAATAATATTGTGTACAACATAGCTATAGATGGACTTTGCAAGTCAGGAAAATTTGATGAAGCAAGAAGTGTTCTGTCAGTTTTGATATCTAGAGGTTTTCTTCCAGATAATTTCACATATTGTGCATTAATTCACGCCTGTTCAGCTTCTGGCAATGTGGACGAAGCATTCAAGTTAAGGGATGAGATGCTGGAGAGAGGTGTTATTCCAAATATTACTATATATAATGCATTAATAAATGGCTTGTGCAAATTAGGAAATATTGATCGAGCACAGAGACTTTTCCATAAACTTCATCAAAAGGAGCTGGTTCCTAATGCTGTCACCTATAATATATTAATCAGTTGTTACTGTAGAATTGGTGATCTTGATAAAGCCTCTAAACTGAGAGAGAAGATGGCAGATGAAGGAATTTCCACTCGCACTCTGCCTTGATCAATGGTTGTTTGGAAGGACAGAGGACTAGAAATTTTTGGATCAATTTATTGAAACAGGGTTTAATCAGAGTCTTGCCCGATACCCATAAACTTTGCTATATGCAAAATTGAACAGGTGGCTAAACACTTAGTTACAGCACACCTGCAGCACAAATCTTGCTATATGCAACAATTTCATACCAAATCCACCATTGAATAAGTAATTTCTTCGTACGAATTTATAAATTGGAAATGGTCAAATCCTCCTGTATATTCAGCCATAAGCACCAATACACCATACTTGAAAATTTTAGAGTTTCATTTGTTGTTAATGAAGTTAGGTGTGTTTCATAAACCCTTACACTTTTGATCACTGGGAAGAAAAACATGTTAGAAGTTACTCATATTTCATGCTCATCATATATAGCTAAATGAGATGCTTTCTTCAAGGTTGATGTTGACTATCTTGTAACCTTCTCAGTATATTGACTCAGATGATTTGCTGTATATGTTCCCAACATAGGAAAGATATTGAAGAAGCTAGATGGTATTGATCAAGCTTTGGCTTGCATTATAGTTGGAGGCAGAGTATTTTGGAAGACATTGTATCGATTAGAAAGGGAAAAAAGACCTCATTTCTCGAGAAAGCATTGTATTTTGGAAGACAGCGCTAGGTCAATGACCCTTCAGGCCTTTGCAATATCTTGAAAACATAAAGCATCTGTGTTCTAGATTCTTTCTTAAAAGAAATCATACAGAAGTGCTACAGATTCAGGAAACAAACAGGTAGAGTTATGATAGAATTCAGATAAGTTTATGGGTGATTGTTAGATAAGAGAAAATATAACAACAACTCATCCATCATAGTTTAGCAACACCAATGGCCTTCCACTCATGAAAATTGCACGACATGAATTCGAATCTGAGAATCCTCAATTGGTGGGAAATTTGTATTTACGTTGTAAATTATCAGACTGGTGATTTACTCTAACCTTATAATGGGGAGAATTTTCCTCACCTTACCTTTTTCTTTTATCCAAAAAAAATTGATTTTCATTATTTTGATACACATAGTTTGCTTTGCAATTATTAGAATTTGAGGCTGAACCACTCAGTTAGCTTTGCTGATAAAGTGGTTTTTTTCTCATTAATCATTCATTACCGTTTTGATTTGTTAAATAAAATTTCATTTTATAGTACCATCGCACCAATATTATCACTATTATTGTTACTTCTACTGTTACTATTTATTACCACTAAAACACTACTATTTATAAAAATCTGGACATCGCTATTTTGCTTTATGATCAGGTTCTTAATATTGTAATAATTGTGTGCTGTGGCAAATCATGCTGTTATTATTTTGAAGGCCTGGTAATAAAAGGGAGCATTTGTCTTGACAAAAGCAAGGGCTTCGAGTTGTCTTCTGCCTTTTACTCTGGTTAATTTCATTATGATTTTCCTTGCTGTGTTATTTAGAATTTCAAATGATTTCTGATAGATGTTGTTTATGGTTTGTCTGTTGATGAGGTTTATTCTGATTATGACAATCCAATTCATTGTCTTCTTTTTCAGTTCCAACCTTATGAAGATACTAATTGTAAGTATTTGTTGTGTGCTTACACTTCATGTTTGTGACCATTAGTTTTCTTGCATAAACCTTTAACTCTGTCATTTTAGCAGTTAATGTCGGAGTATGATAAAGTGGCATCTTCTATATAAACATATAATGGATGCTGTTCAGAACAAGCTTTGCATTCTTTCTGGAGCACCTCCTTTGAGTTATTTGAACACTCCTCAATTTAGGAGGCACCTCACCTTTCCGTTAGTCTTTGTTTTCAATCCTCCTAGCCTTGTATTTGGATTTCTGCCAGATAGCAAGAGGATCCTAGCAGTAGCAAGGGAATAAGACATCACAAGTTCCACTAAATGCATATCGCTTACTTCATAAGTTCTCAAACTTAAGTTCATTTTGACTCATCTCTTGTAAAATTGGAAGTCTCTTGTCATTTTTCATTTCTGCTTGAAAGCTGAAATGAAATATTAAGGGGTTGATTAAGGCTTGAGCTACATAGCAGGTATCCTCGTTTTGATTATACATTATAGTTTTTCACTCTTAACTCCATCTGACAAATTTCATTAAATAATATTTAATTTTTTAATGATTGAAGATTCTGTTGGGCTGCGGTTCGTTTTTGGTTTTTGGTTTTAACATGTACCTTCAGAAAAAAAAAATAAATTACAAATTATTAGTAGTTAATTATTAATATTATATTTACACCCTTTGTTGGGACTTGAACTTTGGACCCTCTAACTCATTTAGGACTCTTGTTAGGAGGGCCCTTTAATGACTAAGTAAAGATTTTTAAGTTAGTAAAAGGAATAAATTTTATGGATGAATGATTGAATATGATCAATGATAATTACTGGGTATTCTGAGTCAGTAGCTTTTGAAAAAAATAATAAATCCTGCTTGTTTAAATAACCAAATAATCATATCTAAAACTATGCCACTATAGATATAGATAGATTTCTAACTGTATTTGCAGGACTAATTAACCTGTAAGCAACATTCTTATGCAGATGTAGAACATGGATAATGGACAACATCAAATCCAAAAATGGAAAATCTAATGTGGGTGTATTCTCTTTCAAATTTGATATGAGGTGATGGAAATGGGACCTGAAGCTAACTTTGGAGATAGGCTGGCACAGAAGCTCATTGTAGTAACTTTGATAATTGGTGGGGATAGTCTAAGAGAATCACAATTTTGTGCCTCCCAGCTGGTTTGTGTTGGTCACTCTGGCTCGCTTATCCTCTGCTTACATGTAACAGATTGAAATTCTTCTATTCACATGTATGGTTTAACTTAACTTTCTGTTATACATCGTTAGTAGTTGGTATTAAGTTAGGAATTGAGAGTTTCTGCAGTTGGGAAACTTTGTACTCGTGGCAGTAGTTTCACAAAATGCAGAGGATTCATATTCGTTAAGATAGTTTTCATTTTTGTACTGGATGTAATATGTTTGGTTGAGATTTTTCTCAATGCAAACTTTTCTAATTAGGATTATATTTATACACCCCGAGTCGGGAAGATAACAAACACATTTTTGTAGAATTAGTGTTGCTCGAATTGACTGTTCAATTTCCGACATATTACTGTGTTTTACCACATTAAAACCTTCCACATTACTTCCTCCTTAACAACTTGGTATATTTTAATATCATTGACACGTGAATACGGGTGGAAATAGGTTAGGCCAATAACACGGCTTATACATATCTAAACTTTATTTTTAACTAAACTTTATTTTTAAATAGAAAAGCCTTAGGTTTTCTTTTATAGGTCTATTTAGTTAAAAAGATTTGGCTTCAGACTATGAAAAAAACCTTTTAAATTTATGAGACTGACTTATTTAAATTAATATGAATATTTTTTTTACTATTATGTTATGTTTTGTATTTTGAATTAAAATACATAAATAAAAATTAGTTATTTTGGAGAACTTATGAGAATAAAATGAAAATATCTTATGAACAATATTATAAGTTATTTTCATAAGCTATCTTAAACAAATAATCTCATAAAGCTCATACTAATAAGTTAAAATAAATTAATGTAAATAAATTTTTAATTTCATTGGTTTTTTACTTTGTTAGTCTATTTAAAATAGCATGTTTTCATGTAGGTTAACTGACTAATCAGATTTTAGAAAAAGTTAGACTCAACCTTAAAAATAAACCTATGATAAACTATAGACTAGATTCAGGCTTCAGTTTTTTTGTCAGATTTAGACTTGACAAAATTTAACTCGATCCAACCTATTTTCACTCCTACACATGAATGAATGTATAAATAGGGTGGAAAACATGACTTGATGATAGTTGGATATGGATTGCATGAAGTTGAAGCAACATTGAGAAAAACATTCTATAAGGGAACATCAATATTTAACTAAGGAGCAACTAATTGCATTGATTAGTATCTGTTTTTAATTGGAATATGTTCCCTACTTCCCTCTTCTTACCACATCAAGTAGTTGATGTCTCAATTGTGTTTTTGGACCACACCATATGCAAGCAAACCATGTTTTGTGGTCCAAAATATTGGATAATCCTTTTCATATTATGAAATAATTCTATAATTCTTCTAACAACACATTATGTCAATACTAAACAATTATCTATGCCATCATTGTTATTTCTTTGCACCACTTGTCTATATACTTGCAATGCATTGTTTGTAGTATTGATTATTATGATATCTCAAAATGGAAATTTTAAAGTAAAAGGCAACCCATAAAAAAAGTTCTGACCACAAATCAATTTTAAGCATGCACTGTCCCCTGTAGAGATATCAACCATCCTTTCCATCACCTTCTCCTTTGGAAACTTTATCTTCATGCCATACACATAAATCCATACTTTTTACATTTTCATTTTATATTCTCTCAATCTAAAGTAACTATCAGAAGTGACAACATCTCAAAATACACACACACATACATTATAAATGCATTTTATCCTTACTCTTTTATCCATGTTTCAAATCATAGTGAGGACAACCAAAAAGGATAAACAGTACCATACATCAACCAAAGAAACAACTTGACCCACATTAAAAGAAAATGAAAAGCATATAATGTAAAGGAAATAAATAAGACACTGCATTATGCATATGATGATGTCTGTAGGGACTTTAAATTCCAACCTATGCATCTTTCCAGGTAATCATCAAAGCAAGCAATTTTACACATTACACAATATCCTCCACTCTATGCATTCACTACTAAATAATCATTCAAGAAAGCCAAAAATTATTCATTCAACAAACAAATAGCAATAATAGCAAGACTTTGAAATTAAGCAATCATCATGATTTTTTAAACTTAAAATAACAATTTTATGTAAAAATGTTTTTTATCTAATATTAAGCTCACTTAACAAAACCAATGTTGCTTTGGTTGGTAAAGATTCAGCTCATATCTAACTACAATTTGAGTTTAAGTTTCAAATTT